TTTATACCTTGAAGGCCCCCAAAAAACTATTTGTATAGTAGATACCAAAAACACATTTAATTAAATTCAGCAGATACTCATAATAAAAAACTCCAGATAACACTAAAATAGAGGTGATTACCTAAACTTGGTCAAGGTTGTTTACAAAGTCAATGACCAAAAAAATACCATATAATAGCACTATGATAGCAGACTAAAATTTAGATATATGTGTGCACCAAAACCAAGAACTATTTTTAATATGTATGAGCCATAACTCAATAGGAATTGAAATGAGGAAAGAGTTTCATTCAAACTAGTAGAGAAAATTTGTATTTTAAGACCTGAGAGTATATTACACTTGAAATATTATTAATGATATTCCTTTCCAAATAAAAACTTAAATGATATAGAACAGTTTCAACTCCTAATGCCATGGTTGTTAGTTTGTTAAAAAATAAAAAAATTAGTACTTCAAAAGATTAAATAAATAACATTCTGCTGGGGCGTGGTGACTCACACCTGAAGCCTAGCACTTTGGGAGGCTGAGGCAGGAGGATTGCTTGAGGCCAGGAGTTCAAGACTAACCTGGGCAACAATGCAAGACCCTGTCTCTAGAAAAAGAAAAAGAAAAAAAAAATTCAAAGGCAGAATATCAGGAGAGAAGATATTATCAATGCACATATAAAACAAAGGGTCACCCTTCCTAATAATTAATTTCTACAATTTAGTAGGAAAATTACAACTCCAATAGACAAAAAGGGGCAAAGAACATGCCTAGGCCACATCATATGCACTACCTCAGATTTCCTTGATTTTACTTGTTTGCTGGGCTGCCTTGGCACCTTGTTGCACTGTGAACCCAGAGTTTCTGGTATCTCGGCTACTTTACAGTGCAGCAAGCCCAAAGATCTGACTTCTGCAATGGCTGCTTAATGGAGCTAGATAGTGTAACTTTCCAGAAGGAGAGGGAAACTAAATTCCCATGGAGTGGTGATTAAAATTCAAAGGGAGATGGGAGAGAACTGGCAGATTAAATTCCCTCTCTGTTCCTCCCTCTTGTGGCTTCTCTAAAACTTGGTGTTTCTGGCCTGCCTGTCCAGAGACTTCCTGAATGCCGAGGAACCAGCTGGGATTCTTCATGAAACTCAGCAAGCTTGGTGTTATTCTCTGCTTCATTTTGCTTTTCCCTCACTTACATTGCTGATATGGAGCCTTCAAATAGAGCATTGGACTTAAGTTTTGCCTCAGGCTGGTTTTTAGGGAACCAGGCTACAGCAGGATTTGAACAGAAAATTCATAGAACAAGAAATGAAAATGGCAAATAGACATAAGAAGTTCTCCAGCTCATAAACATGGAAAATGCACAGAAACCACGAGATACCATTTTTTTGTATAGCAGTTTGGCAAAAATTGAAAAGATGAATAGCATTCAGTGCTGATGAGAGGTAGAAAAATATGCTGTCCTATGAAGGTTGGGGTGGTTGGGATGTGTATGGCTGCATACTTCCTGGAAAGTGATCTGATAATGTTTCTTAAAGCTTTCAGTGTACAGTCTTTGATCCAGGAATCTCCCACATATGCTTTAGTTCATATGTATATAAATGCAAAGATCTTTCCTGCAGTATTGTTGTAATAGTAAAATATAATGGACAAGTAGAATGTCCTTTTAAAAGGGTAAGTACTCGAATAAAGTTTGGCATATCCATCTTATGGAGTATTTTTTATGGGAAATTATTTAGAACCATGTGCTTCCTGGAAAAATAACTCTGATATATTTTAAGTGAAAACAGCAAGTTATAGAGTAATATCTGTAGTGTGATCCTATGTACAACAAAACAAAAGGACCCTATATATGTGTGTGTGTTAATATATGTTTGTATAATGGTTTAAAAAAAAAAAGATGTGAAAGGATACACCAAACTGTTAACACTGGCTGCCTCAAAAAAGTGAGATTGAAAGTGAAGACAATTACTAGTTTTTTCCTTATTGTCTGTTGCATTACTTTGAGCATGAAAAACAGTGAGGTACTAGATAGGTGAATGGTTGAGTGGAAAGAAAGAATAAAAGGAGAAGGGATAGAAATCATTTTTATCTAAAATAATTTAAAATATGTACCTCTTTGGTTTAGTTTCTTTTGATCCTTGATTGGTCAATCCTAAGGAAACAATTTGAGCTGCAACCAAACTTTAATATTATATTGTTTGTGAATGTTAATAGGCAAAATCATTTAAAAACTCAGTTTGGCCATACCTATCAAATTTTATATGGTCATATCCTCTGATCCAACAATTTTACTTCTAGAGCTTTTTATTTTATGAAATACTGCTAAAGATATATAAAGGTACAGTACATTTAATGTAATATTTTTAATAAGGAGAAATAGAAATATAAAATACATAAAAGAACATTATAGTACATTCTTTACAGTCATCAAAAAGAATGAAGTTGATAAGTTTATACTATGGAATGATGTACATGATTTGTCAAAATAAAAAAAGTATTACCAAGTTTTGTTTTTTGTTTTTTTTGAGTTGGAGTCTCACTCGGTCGCCCAGACTGGAGTGCAGTGGCTGCTCCCGGCCACCGCAGCCTCGACCTGCTGGGCTCCGGCGATCCTTCTGCCTCAGTCTTCCAAGTAGCTGGAACTACAGGTGCACGCTACCACGCCCAGCTAATTTTTTGATTTATTGTAGAGATGAGGTCTCGCCAAGTTGCCCAGGCGGGTCTCGAACCCGCGAGCTCAGGCAATCCACTCACCTCAGCCTCCCAAAGCGCTGGGATTACAGGCTGAGCCACCGAGCCCGGCTTTGCCAAGTATTTTTAACATTTTGTTTTATTGTATATTACTACGGTAATACTTCATATAATACCTATCTCTGAGAAATGGTAGCACAATGTTTGTCTTACATTTCTTAGAATAGTATATTACTTCTGTGATAAAAAAACAGTAATGAAAACTGACATAATTTTTCTTCATGAAAAATTTTTTTCTTCATGATTATATGGTTTCACTATTACAGGAAAAACAAATGAACAAAAAATTAGATTTATCCATGCAATGAACTGGTAATTATATATATATATATATATGTGTGTGTGTGTGTGTGTGTGTGTGTGTGTGTGTGTGTGCTCCTAAAGGGAAGCCTCTATCAAATTATTCTTTTTATACCTTGCCTTGTTAAAAAGGAATTAACATGAACTATATGAACTTAGTATACACTTTTCCAAATAACAGTTGCCTCTAATAAATTTGTTTAGTGTGTGTTAACAATATTTGGGGTCCTCTAAAGTGTGAGGCTTCGAGGCAAGATCCTCTTGCCTGGGATTAAAGGTTGAAAGTGACGTTTTGCTTAGGCAAGTGTGAGATTTTCCTACTCACAAAGTAAGCTCCTTATGGGCAAACTACTTTACTTCTCTAAAAATTAGTCTGCTCCGTTCTGTTCATTTGTGAGTCTTAACTCTTCAGAAATGAGAAATTAATACTGCCATCCCTTGAAGGAATAATGATATGAATTTTTAAAGTGACAAGTGAATAATGTTATTACTGAGAAAATTATGGTGAAGAAAATCCATTTGTAGATAAGCTTCTTAAAGGGGGCTGGTATGGAAAAGGGAATAACCAAAGGGACTTTGTTGCCTTGTATATTCTTTCATATCACCTACTTTACCTTTGTGATATTTATCATAGAAACAATGAAATGATTACTTTCTTCTAAAAAATTATACAAACTATGTGAACTTAGGAAACACCCAGATAGCTAGCAAGGAGTGTCTGTCCTCTCACTCCCCTTTATTTAAGTCATAAAAGAAAAATTCTGGATGTTTCTGAAGGTTTCGAAAAGATTCATTGTTCTGTTTTTAAGCTCAAATGAAGGCATCTATTTATTATACCTTGCAGCTTTCCTTATGTTTGACAGTGTACTCTTTAAGAATATATGGATATTTTGGCGTTTGAAAGAAGCTAAAGGACTCAAAACCTGGTTGGGTCTTATTAACACTCAACTGGCTTCTACAGATGGGCCACAGAAGACATAGATATTTAGGTGAAACCATACACAGTCACCTTTTATGTGTCCCCACACATATGACATACTGTACAGAAACTGATTTTTTTTTTTTTTCAGTAAGTTTGACATCCAGACTAATCTCATTAGATTGGGAGATGTCTTCCCCATATCTTTGTGACCAATATTGATTGATTACTTACTGTGCCAAGTACTATACCAGGTGTCCTGGGGATAAAGGGGTAAGATGCAGCCTTGAGAAACTTGTGGTAAGGGGAAGCAATTACTGATGTTAGAAGCAGAATCTTTAAAATGTCCAATTTATTTCTTTAGTAGAGACTTGCCATTCATTTGCCTACTGGTCAGAGCCTTGCAAATTTTCAGTTGTGACACCCTTGAGAGAAAAGTATCTTGAATTGGGTTTATCAAAGTTGACCAGTATTAAGATTCTGAACTTGATCTGGTTTTCTTCTCATGCACACACAAAACAAGTCAAGAATTATAAGGTAAAAATTATGATAATTGAGCCGGGCTCGGTGGCTTAGCCTGTAAACCCAGCACTTTGGGAGGCTGAGGTGAGTGGATTGCCTGAGCCCGCAGGTTCAAGACCTACCTGGGCAACTTGGTGAGACCTCATCTCTACAATAAAATCAAAAAAATTAGCCAGGCGTGGTAGCTCACGCCTGTAGTTCGAGCTACTTGGAAGGCTGAGGCGGAAGGATTGCCAGAGCCCTCCAGGTCGAGGCTGCAGTGGCCGGGAGTGTGCAACTGCATTCCAGTCTGAGCGACGGAGTGAGACTCCAACTAAAAAAAATATATATATGATAATTGAATTGGATTATAGTTATTATTGTTACATTTAAACAAGTATAAAATGCTGAGTTGATGGGAAAAATATTAATGCTAGATGTAATTGTGATGATAATTTCTTTATACAGTCTAGTTTTACCAAAACATAGTTGTTACTCACTTAAAGAATTTCTTATTGCTTAATGTTTTTCTTTTATTTTGTAGGAGTTTATATTGTCAGAAGATTATAACAAGATGACTCCTGTGAAAAACTATCATGGTAAGGGGTGAGAGACTAAAATATTTCTTGATGGTTTTCACTGCTACAAGAGAGTACCTACTTTACAATAGTCATGGGAACAAAATAGAGCAACCCTCTGAGGTGAATGTTACCCCAGCTTTTGTATTAAGAAACTGAGGCCCAAAGAGGTTGAGTGACTTGCATGTGGTTCTGTGGCTGGTCAGGTGCAGAGCCAGACCAGATCAGCGTGATTCCCAAACCCATAGCCTTTGTCTTCCTGCTGTACCACACTGCCTTGAAACACAGCAGCATGCTTGTAAAGTGGGGCCAGTGTAAAAGCTGCCTTATAAGGGACTCATTTTGTATTTGGTTAAATGCTTTAAAATGCTGTGTATTCATATTGTTCAAAGGGAAGAATTATGGTTTTATCAAGTTTGCAACATTGGCAGGCCATCTTCATAGTATAGATCAGGAGCAATTTTTGGAAGAGATTTCTTCGAGCAGATCACCAATGTCACGAAATCAGAATATTAGAATGAACCTTTTAATGTTTAGAGGTCATTTCATCCAGTTCCACTGACCTCATTCATCCTATATAATGTGTGATCGTCCAGCCTCTCCTTTAATACCATACATAGCATCCATTCCGATTTTAGAAAACTCTGAGCGTTCAGTTTTTATTTTAAGATTTAGAGCAAAAATTCATTTTCCTATAGTATTATTCTTTCATATCACATATCATTCATCAAATATTTACTGAGTACCTACCGTGTTCTAGAACTGAGAATTCTAATAATGAGTAAGAACTGTGTGGAGGATACAGACACAAGCCATTAAATGTGTGATAAGTGCTAGAATGTTTCCCTTTTGGTCTTTGTTTAACATGCTAACGCTACAAAATTGAGCACAATCTCTCTTGCACATGATAGCCTTTGAATTACTTGAAAACAACCATGAAAGTTTCCATCCTCCCTCCCCTACCTTGGGGAGGTTAATCTCTCTCTCCCTCTCCCTCCCTCTCCTTCTCTCTCTCTCTCTCTCTCTCTCTCTCTCTCTCTCTCTCTCTCTCTCTCTCTCTCTCTGTCTCATTTACTTTATAAATAAACTCTATTTTTCATTCTTTAAAAAAAAAGTTTTCACCCCTTTTCTTCTGTCTCTTCCAGTCTTCTTTATTCATTTCTCTTTTCTAGCCTAAACATTTTCCATCTCTAAAATTTCTATTTTACATGACCTGAGTCTTTGTTCTTTAAAAAAAACTTTTTTACATGTCCTTCATAAAAATGTACAATTATGTATCAAATTTTAAATGCATTACTCTAAAAAATTTTGATTTGTCTTGGTCTCATATTTGAGATATCATATTGTACCTTTAGGATCAATTAAAAATATGATACATTGTGGTAGGTTACCTTTAAGAGCATTGCCTCCTGATATTCCTGATATTTATGTTCCTTCCATGAGTTTTAGCTGGATCTAGAATATGGCAAGTGATGAATATCACTTCTGAGATTAGGGTGTTTTGGGTTTTTTTGGGTTTTTTTTAGTTGGAGTCTCACTGTTGCCCAAACTGGAGTGCAGTGGCCACTCCCGGCCACCCCGGCTCTACCTCCTGGGCTCCGGTGATCTTTCTGCTTCAGCCATCCAAGTAGCTGGAACTATAGGCGTGAGCCATCAAGCCTGAATAGTTTTTTTTAAAATTTATTGTAGAGACGAGGTCTCACCATGTTGCCCAAGCTGGTCTTGAACCCATGGGCTCAGGCAGTCCTTTCACCTCTACTTCCTAAAGTGCTGGGATTATAGGCTTAAGCCACAGCACCTGGCAGAGATTAGGTTATAGAGAGACTGGGGCTTCCATCTTGCTTATCCACTCTTACTCTCTTGCTCTGATGGAAACCAGCTGCCATATTGTGAGCTGTCCTGTGGAAAAACCCATGTGCTGAGGATCTGAGGGAGGCCTTATTAACAGCCAATAAGGAACTGACATCCTCAGTTTATAGTCTATGAGGGACAGAATCCAGCCAGTAGCTATATGAGAGAACTTGGAAGCAGATCCTTCCTCTGTCAAGCTTTCAGATGAGACCATAGTTCCATCTCATTTCTAAGTTGCATCAAGGTTTCTGATCCACAGAAACTCTGAGATAATAAACATTTACTGTGTTTAACCACTAAATTTGGGGGTTATTTATTACACAGTAACAGATAACTAATACATATATGAAACCTGATAAGTACAAAACTTCATTTCCTTCCTCTTCTGGACAAAGGGTGACCTTTCTGGCAGCTGCTTTACACTGTGGACTCATGTGGAGCAGTCAACTCAAACTCTTTAGCAATTCTCACTTGAGTTGTTTTTAGGTTGTGTCTCCTATACCTTTGAAGCTGTTTCTTCTTTTTTATTTTTGTTTTCAGCCTAAATGCTAGAATTCACATTCTGTTCATTATTATCTCACTTTATTTAGTCCATCACCTCACCTTATCAAGATATCTTGACATCTCAGTTGTCATTAAATTAATTAATTCCTGCTTAGCCTTGTGCTTTTCTTAAATGTATAAGCATGAAGTATTATCATATCTCATGTCTTTGTTAAAAATAATGATTAGCCTCTCTGGTATACATTTGAAGAATATACCACTAGAAACCACTCTTCATATGCCATTATTCTTTGGGTCTCTTAGTATAGTTCATATATTTTCATTTTGTCTACAAGGGGTTATAAAAAGTTGATAACAACTACCATGGAAACCCTATCTCTGTAAATACTTAGAGGTAGTGAGAAAAAACGACACTTTCGCAGTTTTTGTCTTTCTTTTTAATGCAATACTAAGCTCAGAGGAAAAACAAAGGAAAATTCTCATGTGCCAGGAGCAGAGAGAGAACTAAAACTCAGAGTGATATACATATGATTTGACATTGCAGCTGTCTTGGGGAGATATAGAGCCCATAATAACTAGATGCTTATATATGAACATACACGTGGAGACAAGAAATAAAGCCTAGAGTCTGGGTGAGATGGAAAATTAGAACTGAGATTTTCATATAAAGCTAAAGCCCATAAAGGACTATTCCCTTTTAAAAAAGGAGAGGAGCAAAGCCCTCCATTCGTTGACCCAGAAGACTACAGGGAAGTCTATTCCTGACTCCAACTCTGAATAGAGGGGGAAAGTCTCTCATGATACATCAAAACTGCAACTGTAAACTTGAGTTGGATTGAGAATTTTCATCAATTATGTTGTACTGGAAATTCCATGTTAAGAAATTAATATAAAGTTGGTCCTTGATCAGCAATACTTCCAGGGTATCTGCTAGAAATAAATATGAAAGCTCCCTTCAATGAGACAAATTGTATAAAGGCTCCACAGTAAAAACAAGTACTGCTTAAGACTGAATAATATATTTTTTTAAAAATTGCAAGAGTAACAAGGAATCAATCCTCCGTGAGTAAATATTAGCAGATATCACTAGCAGGAGGATCAGAATACCAAGAATCTTTAATGATCAACAATGTGGAAGAGACTGGAACATATTTTAAATGATTTAAAGAAACCAAAGAAAGTGTAGAAACCGAGGAAATAAAAAGAATATAGGTAGATATTTTAAAGAACCAAGTAGAACTTTTAGATATGAAAAATATAGACACTGAAATAAAAAACCAGTAGGTAGATTAAGTAGATTAGACACAGTTAGTGAAATGGTAGATGGATTTGATGTCCATGGAACTACATCTGAAAGTACTAGAAGAATAAAACTGCCAACATAAAATCTATGACAGGGGAAAATATTTTTCAAATAGGAAAGTAAAATAAACATGTTTTATGACACACAAAAAGAATACATCATTCATAGACCTGCACTAAAAGAAATCTTAAATACTTCAGGAAGAAAGAAAGTAATGCCAAAGTAAGCTATGAATCTACTCAAAAGAAGGCAGAGCATTAAAGATGGTAACTATACGGATTTTTTCTTATCTGAGTCTCTTTAAAAGACAACTGGCTATTTAAAAATAATGACAAGGTAGCTTGGAGCTCTTAACCTCTGTAAACTTAAAATGTATGACAACAGTAGCACAAAGGCCAGGATGTAAGGAGAAATGGAAGTATACTATTGTCAGTTTATTACATGATGCATGGAATGGTTTAGTATCACATGAAGGAAGTCTGGTAAATTAAAGATACATACTATTAAGCCTAAAACAACCACTAAAATAAATAAAGTTATAGCTAATAGGTCAACCAAGGAGATAAAGTAAAATTATAAAGTAATTCCCAACAATAAAAAAAGCATAGTAAGAAAGAGAAAAAGAACAGATAAAAAAATAGAAAACAAACAGCAAGATGATAGATTTAAACCTGACAGTGTCAATAATCACATTAAATATAAAGAGTCTAAAGCCAATTAATAGGCAGAGACTGTCAGATTTAAAAGGTGAGATCCAAGTATAAACTGTCTACAAGAAGCATACTTTAAGTATAAAGACACAAATATATTAAAAGTAAAAAGTTGGAAGAAGATGTACTATGAGAGCACTAGTCAAAAGAAAGCTGGCCTGACTTTATTAATATCAAAGTAAGCTGGGCTCGGTGGCTCAGCCTGTAATCCCACGCCTTTGGGAGGCTGAGGTGAATGGATTGCCTGAGCCTGCGGGTTCGAGACCCGCCTGGGCAGCGAGACCTCATCTCTACAATAAATCAAAAAATCAGCCAGGCGTGGTAGCGCATGCCTGTAATTCCGGCTACTCGGAAGGCTGAGGCAGAAGGATCGCCGGAGCCCAGCAGGTCCAGGCTGCGGTGGCCGGGAGCGGCCACTGCACTCCAGTCTGGGCGACCGAGTGAGACTCCAACTCAAAAAAAAAAAAAAAATCAAAGTAGACTTCAGAACAAAGAATATTACCAAGGATAAAGAAAATTTGTTCATAATGATAAAGGGCCAGTCCATCAGAACGCCTTAATGATCCTAAGTGTTTAATGCACTTAATAACATAGCTTGTAATATGAGGGGAGACCCCCCCCAAACAAAACAAAACAAAACAGTGTCTTTTGGA